CTTGAAGACTTGATGAGGCTTAGTTGAGAATCGGACTCTTTGGGAGTGAAAGATTGATATGGTGGAGTAATTTGAAATTTTGCCTAGCGGGCCAACTTCTTTGATATTGCAATATTTGACTGAACTTGGCTCTGAGAGAATATTTTACTCTCAGGTTCGTAGAGGACACCGCGTACAGGTGTTCTGTCTTGCCCTCCGCGCAATGAGTCATTAGTTCGAGACAGAACTAGCTAAAGTATACCTCGGTATCCTTCTCTTCTGCTTGCGTGTTGAAATTGGATCCCTGTGGTCTTGAGGTTGACCCCGACGGTGCTTATAGTGGTTGTATTACTGAGACTATGACCTGTTTACGCGGGCGTCCTGGCCCTCTTTTTTGGTCTTCTACCCTTTGGTTGGACACCAGTGTGAACCCCTGGTCGTCTACATTTTTTGCCGTTTGTTTAATTTGAGGTGCCGTTGGTGTATATTACTCTCGTCATAAGTCCGCCGTTCGCTACATGACTCCATACCGCGCCCTCCGGACGCTGGTATTGTAATCCGCGAAGTTCTGACACGCCCCCTTCAGCCACGACATGTGAGCCTTTCCACAATTGCAGTAAAGTACCGTTTTCTTAGGGCAGTCTCTGGTCTGATGGTGCCCACACACCCTCCACATCTCCTTGCGTTATTGCAAGAGGCTTCGGTATGCCCCCATTGACTGCAGTTGAAGCACTGCTAGACTTGTGCACGGGGTGACCAGAGCTGGGCCGTGTACAGCATTGAATCGAGCACAATGCCGTTTCGAATCACCTCGCGTTGAAATGCCTCTGTCGGTAGGCTCGCTACTACTGACCCTCGAGTATGGCCATTATTAATTATTCAATTATTATAAATATAATAAACATAATACTGGTCCAGATGGCATACCAAATCGACTCCTCAAAGAATGCAGGAAAACTCCCAGCAAAGACCTTATAGAGCTATTCAATGCATGCGTTTGCCTGGGGTACCACCCAAAGAGATTCAAAGAATCGACGACAATAGTTCTTAGAAAGCCACAAAAGCCGAGATATGTCATTCCAAAGTCTTATCGACCAATAGCAATTCTCAAAACAATGTGAAAGCTTCTCGAGAAGTTAGTGGCCAATCGCATCTCTTAAGCCACCGGAGACTATAACCTGCTTCCGGACGAGCAGACGGGGGCACAATTTAAGAGAAGTACCATGTCGGAAATAGAGCTCCTTATAGAATAGATCCATACAGTATGGGGCAGATATATAAGGTAAGTCGCATCACTACTTAGTCTCGATATCTTAGGAACGATTGATAATGTCTCTCATGAAATACTTATCTACAACCTAAAGAAGTAGGGCATCCCAAGCTGGATTGTTAACTTTCTAAAATCCTTTCTAGACGATGGAACGACATCTGTAGTCTTTAGGTCATAAATAGGGGACCAAATATCTACTAACACAGGTATAACTCAGGGATCAGCTTTGTCTCCGATTCTGTTTCCAGTTTTCGTCAGCACCCTCTTAGAAATGGTACGAAGTCTCTCCAACACGGCGGTAGGATTTTTAGATGACACTAATATACTAACGTGGTCAAGCTCTACCGAGGAAAACTGCCGAATGTAAGAGGAAAAGCATAGTATATGCGAGGAGTGGGCAAAGAAACACGGAGTAAATTTCGTACCGGGGAAGTATCAATTGATGCATTTCACACGAGCAATGAATCGATACAACCTAAAAGCCACCGTGGGTAAAAAAGGACACTTAACTTCGCCGCAATCATCTCTTCAAGTTCTTGGAGTCTTCTTCAACGCCAAACTCCATTGAGGAGCCCAAATAAAGAATATCCAGCAAAAATTGTGCACTCAGGTGCAGTCAATTAGTACATTGGCACAATCGACTTGGGGAGTAATGTTCGTGAAGTCCAAGCTGTTATACAGCTCAATAGTGAGACTGGCCCTTACGTATGGGTCCCCGATATGGATCGAGGCTGGGCCAACAGGGAAGGTACCTGAAAGGATAGTGAAAACCCTCAGAAGTATTCAAAGAAATTGCTTAAAGCTTGTTGTGGGTGCCTACAATTCTACTAGTAGCAGAGTCCTAGAGCACGTATTGTATATTGTCCCTATAAGATAAGAATTTTATTACAGTCACTTATGAGTCTACGACTGTAAAGGACTATTCTCCCTATAGAAATATACCTGGAACAAAGAAGGGTCCAGCACGTCGGGCTATCAGCTAAACTCCCTGTACAACAGAATATACGATCACTATGTGAGAAAATAAAGCTGCCGGCAAACGGGAGAGAAACTCCGCATGCCTGGAACAGGAGTAGAGATATCGCCGATTGGACAAGAATTTGCGGAAGGGGAAAAGACAAGTGGAGGCAAGAAGAATCTGGAAACATAGCGGTCTTTCAGTAGTGGAAGAATTCATAGACAAGCCAGAACAGGAAACAGAGCCCTGTCCGACTAGCATCAGCCGATCCAGAACATAGGAAAGCGGCAAATATATTTACAGATTAACAAACAGGCAGTGTAAAAATGAACTTCAGAGGTACATCCTAAAATATCCACCGTTACTTAAGCAGGGCCCAAAGCAGTATTGCCATTTAGCTAAGAAGTAAGCATGTCGGGCTCAATTATTACCTGTATAGAAGAAAAGTACTGTTGAGGTTCCTGATGGATTAGTATGTGTGAAAGTAAGATAAGCCTAGCTTTGTGATGGTGTGGGTTACGGGTGTTTCGTGGCTCCTAACTACCAATGCGTATATTAGAGCTTAAGAATAGATGTAACTTGATTTTCTGTTATTATTATTATTATTATTATTATTATAATTTCATTTTATTGTCCTGTCTGAGTTTATGACTATGTAGGACATGCAGTTGATTTTCTGTTAATACAGGGTATCGTCTGTATGATTACAGTATTCCTTATCTTGCGCCCTGACTCCAACGCGAACAACATTACATAAGCATCACAATTTATCAGAGCCTCGTACTAATCTAGAGGTCTGTCAATCTTGGATCCTCACTGTGAGGGAACAAAAAAATAGCATAGAAGCGGAGTTGAGATATTCCAAGTGACGATCATTTGTATTTGGCAGTAGGAACATCAACCAAGATCAAGGTGTAGATCATTAGCAAAAGCGCTCGGACCCATATTTTTCCTGTAAAAGCGAGTTGTATTAAGTCCTCTCCACTATTAACTTTTTTTAGATCCGTAGTAAATCTTTCATCATACGGTTCATGACCACGATCATCCATCCCCTGATAAGTATCCGGAGTAGAAAACCCAATCTGTCATTGTCGATATCCGTCACAAAACGTCAAGCATATGGTATTGATGTGTCCGCAGTGGGTAGGTGGAAGAGGTGACAATCTCCGACAAGCTAAATACAGGTCATTTGTAGCAAAGATTAATGACCCAGAAGATGTGGCTAGAATCACACAGTGGAAACTAAATAAAGAATGGATAAAAATACCGATCTGCAAGGGGAAATGACGGAATCCATGCTGCCTGAATAGTGTAAACTGCACTTCTTGGAGGTAAACTAAACAAGTCGATAGAAATGGGCAGTATTAGGGGATTCTCACTAGATTGGTTTCCTGCTTCGTAAACAATGAAGATAGCCACCTGGATGAACCTATAGGGTGCCTGATCGGGTTAAATGAAATCAAAATCAAATAGAAAAGGGCCCAAAGTAGTATGGCAATGCAAATTCGCAGTGAGCACATGAGGCTCAATTCGTATTTACATTGGAGAAAAGTGCCCGGAGTCTACAGTCCAAGATTTTCATGGGGCTATCACTCACAGAGCCCCCGGCACATGGTTAGTTCTTACCCTCCATGGTCGAATAGTAGAGGAGAGATCTGGAGACAAGCCAAAGATCAGTCCTACGAAGCAATGATAAACAATCCTGGAGACATCACAAGGATAACACAGTGGATCCAAAATCATGGTTGGATAGAGCAATTCCAGATGACAAAGGCGTTCGAAATGCTGCTGAGGGAGAGGAACACGACATGCAGTTTTGGGGGTCGATAGAGATCATGCGATTGGCTTACGGGGATGACCCTACAATGTTACTGCGCTTCCTGAATAGAATAAAATTAAATATAAGTCCCTACTGAGTCTATGGCTGTCAAGGCGGCATTAGGGAGGTGGGTTAGACAGCGCAGATGTTACAGTCTACCGAAGAATGAACAGGGCAGGAGGTGACAACGCTGTGATTGTTTCTGACTCGAGAGGAGATTGGTGTGAGAGATAGGGATGCGGCGCAGGGCACCGTAACTCAGACATTTGCTGTTCCTTTTTAATTTCTTTTGTCGCCTCTAGCTTCACTGCCGGTCATGTAGGTCGCAACGAGCTCTCAAAGCTCATCTTCTCGTGTCATGTTTAAAAAGATGTTAGGTTCTTCATATCACGTAAAATATTTCAAATTAAAATTCAAAAATCTATAACCATGAAGGACTGCTATAACCAAACAATTCACCACCAAAATTCACTTATTTTTACATGTGCTTTATTTTCAATCTTTTCCAATAGACGATGAGGGTTTTACTCTAACTGCGCTTCCTGTAGGACAGGTGGGAAAACTTAAGACAACAAGCACAAAGGTATGAGGGTTTCAACCAGTAGGTTTCCTCTCTTGTATCTATTGTAGTTCAAAGACATCCGCATGTACCCATAGAGCGCCAAATAAGGATACTGAAATCAAGTAGAACTTTCTTCCCCTTGTCTTCCTCAACAGGCCCTGTACAAAGATTTAAGCGTCATGCATTGAACTAGACGTTTGGATAAATAAATGTTATTTTTGTTTGAATTTTTTTCCTGGAGCCGCTTCGTGCTAACTATTTTTGTTTGTGAGAACATTAGGTTTATGGACAGTGCATTATTTTAATTAATACAAATGACAAAAGTATTATTAAACGTGAAAGAGCCCACATGTTTTTTTAAGAAAATGGTATTTAATAAGATGACAAATTTGAACTTAAGAAGTTTAAGCGCTTATCTCAATCCAATGACGCTCATTTCCAGTGTCCAAACTCTCCTGATCCAAACCTTTAATTTTCCTTCGACTCCCTCTACATTTTCAAGTTCGAGCCCTTCCCACCAACACCTCCGAGCAGGCTTTCTCCAGAAGAGGAGCAGTTTTTGGGCCATTCCAACAGCATTACCTCCTGTTTCCCCCCGTGAATCAGATCTAAGCTTTGCTAGTGCCAAGCTACAAATGACTGCCTTTGTTGGCTCGATTGCTCGATGGCCCCAGCGGTCATCAGGGTTAAAACCACTGTTTTATATTAGATGCAAATTCCTCAGTTAATTCTTGATTTAGAGCTCACCCTGCTGTCAACATTTCTATCAGATGTTGCTCTGTTGTACCATTTTCATTCTCCTTTGACCTTTTTAATCCCGAAAATATTCCATCTTGCCGTAGTAAAGCTCTTCCTGCAGCTCTCTTAACATTCATCATCTCAGGTTGCTCGATTTCTGCACGCGGAGGTATCACGTAAAAGTCTAGGTCTTCTCTAAGAACTATTATTCCTGCTCTGTCTCGAAGCATTTCGCGTGAAGTGCCCTGTAGAGGATCGATAGTCACGGCATCAGTGTTGGGAGATACAAATGAAGGCTCCATCCTTGACGTGATAGTTTGAGCAACATTCCGAAAGAAGTCAAGCATATATTGTAAGGAGACTGGATCATACTGCATCATCTGGTCAGCAGTGTGCTAGTCTTTGGAGGTCTGTGAAGGCCCCGCAATTATAGATCATATTACAGACATCAACTTGGAAAGCGTCACTTTCGTCAAAGTTATTCAGTTGACCATCAGGAAGAAGTCCATTTGGAAATAATGAGAGCAAAACAAACTCAGGTAGAGTGAGAAGCTCATCTCGAGAAAGTGTGAACAAACGGCCCCTGGTAAAGTCAACAAGGCTAGTGATAAAATCTTGATTCGTAAGTATACCGAAGGTCCATAGTTATTATTTCATCGGGTCCAACATCTGGATCACTTTTTTTAGTATGAAGCTTTGAATATCACGAGAAAATCATACCTCCCAGTGTACTTAGTGGAGCTGGGCCACCCTGCTGCACTTGGGTTAGAATACTAGCAGCCCCCCCTGCGGCTGCCATCAGATATGTAAAGGATTCAAGTGGACTAGAGCCTTTTGAATAGGCCGGCGGAGGTTCGGAGGTTTCTTCCTTCTTTTCTGATGGCCCTTTGATATCCTGGAAGGATGCAGCCTTGGATTGTGAGGCTAGATCGAGAGAAAATTTTATGACCTTTTCTGACTCAAGTTTAGCTGATTCGTAAGCCGGGCCGGCTTCAGAAGTTGTCGCTTTATATTTCTCGACCTTTTCGATGGTTGAGGCAAAAATAGAAAAGAAGGCTGGAGGTGGTAGGATTATAGCTGACGAAGAACAATTTTTGGAGATAGGATATCCAGGAGGAGGTGACTGGGTGGTGGTTATCTCGTCATCTAGCTTAAATAAGTCTTTACTGTGCTCGTTATTGACCACCACGACGTGCGTCGGGGAGCCGGTTTGTTCTTCGGTCGACGACGTGATTGCTGATAGTTTAGTGGTGATTTGGAGTGGAAGATCCTTGGAGTTTTATCAGAAGTCTCGGTGACGCTAGGTAATGATGATAGTAGCAGTTGTGGTTATGGCAATGTAGATAACAATAGTCTGAAGTATCGATGAGGTCGAGCTCGGATTAACAAGGTGATTGGTCCGTTAGGGTCTGACATAACTTCCATTATTTACCTTAGTCGCTTAAACTGAGGGTAATCAGATTATCGTAAGGGGCTGAATTTTAGGAGGTTGTCGGTTCCAGGGTAAATTAAAGACAAACCATTGCCGGCTCAGTGCTTGTAAACAACAATTCTCACGCAAGGTTTCGCTTATTCCAGCCTTATATGAAACTGTATCTGATTATGTTAACTCAGGGTTAAGTTGCCTTCATATAAGTGTACCCGCCTAAGCGCCGATTTTCCACGTTCGTCGAAGTTTGTAACATTTATCTCAAGGCTGAAATTTCGTCTCAACTAAGCAAGGCAGCAAGCTAAGACATTTACTGCATCGGACGGCAGGGGCTCCTGGTCAGACACAGGTAACGACTAGCACTATGAATTTGTAACTGTTATGACCATGATGCTGCAACTTTTGCGACAGTACCCTACCCACCTTATCTACTTGACATTATGTCCTACATAGTCATAGACTTAGACAGAGGAGGGCAAGACTGAACACCTGTACGCGGTATCCTCTACGAACCTGGGAGTGAAATATTCTCCCAGTGCCAAGTTCAGTCAAATTTCGCAAAACCGAACAAGTTAGCTCACGAGGCAATGATTCAAACTACTCCAACACGTCAAATTTTCACTCCCAACGAAATCGATTCCTACCTAAGCCTACAAGTATGTCCTATTACATCCTCATTCCAATGATCACACCTCTTGTCGACTTTCTCTGGCCTCATCTGGTCGCCAAATACACGCCCACGCCGATATTTATACCCGGCAGAGGAAGCAAAGCATGGCGCACAAATCTGGGAGACATTTTTTTGGGATGGACTTGAGAGGATTTAGGACAAGTTAATCAGATGATGCAGAGGATGGATACAGTCTCGACGGGCGTGGAATTTTGAATTTTGGCAAGGAGTTTTTACAAATTGAGCTTTGTACGTGCCAAGACTTCGGTTGCGAGAGTGCAGGCAACACTATAAACACCACCATGGTTGGATGTTGCGGCGGTACATCGTCTTGGCCGGTCAACCGAGTAGAGTCTGGATAACTTGGAAACATATCCCTCTCGAGACAGTCGATCGCTGTTTCAAATCCGGCGAAACACAACCACATTTCTCGCGGCGCTGGTATGCATGGATGACGAAGGCATGCTTGGATAATCAAAGGTTTTTAAATTCCCTTTGGTGGGTACTAACGGAGGAGGGTCGACTGTTTGTGTAAGCAAACATACCTCATAGTGGTATTTGCAAATGAAATCCAGAGTATGACTATCTCTAACGTCAAAAGAGTCATCCAATATCGATACATAGCACTGGTCATGTATCATAGCTAGATAGCTGAATACACATTAAATGATTTAAAAAAGACTCAGACAGGACAATAAAATGAAATAATAACAAACTAATATCTACTTGACATTTTTCTGTATGCACATATTCTGGAAAGTGTCTCAAATTATTTCGGCGAGGTAGAGTTTCAAAAAACTTAACAAACTGTCTCAACTGTTCCCAGAATAATTGACAGCTCTGAAGTCAGATCTAATTATCAGCATCTACATGGATATAAATCTAAAGCTAGCAGGCTGCAATGTAGGTATCTTTGTACTTCTATATTTAAACTTCTTGTACCAGAATAATAACAAAATTCTTCTCATTGTAGGGAATGGAAGAAGTTCAACGACCGAAGAAGCTTAATGTTATTAGTCGCATCACATCGATTTCTCCAAGCTTACCACCTCCAATTGAAAGCACGATTGTTGATAATTTTTTTAGTATCAGACTAATTTGTAGCTGGAATAAAGGTAGATGTCTCCTAAAGACAAAGTCTAATGGCCTGAAGTAGAGAAAAACGTGGGTTCCCAGCCACGCATTATTTATTGTAGAGACTGAATAAAAGAGCCGTTTCCAATTTGAAGTCCTTCGGGAGTATCCAAAAAAAGTCGTGTCAAAATTGGACAGAGAGCCATTAACTGAACGAGTTGCAGGGAACTAAGCATGAAACTCCAAAAGTACCGATAGGAATGAAATTTTATTCGTGAAGGGCACAAACTCTGCACTCAAAGAGCATAACACGGAGAAGAATAGCTTCTCCGTCGACTCTATGCGACAATAACCCAGTTTGAAATTTGGACTACTCATGTAATGGGTGCATTTGCTGATACCACTCGAGACCTTGGTGCAAGGGACTTTCACCCTTTCCTCAACCGTTAATATCCACCAAAGGGATAACAGGAAAAACCTTTGGCTACCCTAACATGCCTTTGTCATCTTGTATATAGCCGCCGCGCAAGATATGGCCTCACAGTCCTCCATTTCTCGAGTGAGGTAGGTGTCCAGGCTACCCAGACTTTAATTCAGGGAGATCAAGATCAGGAGGCGGACCAAAACACCTTTCATCCTTGCCTGTTTAGAAAGTGTCGGTAGCACTATCTCAAATCGTTGCCTCGGCGCCCACAGACACCCTTAAGTCGAAAACACTCGAAAAATTTGCGTGCCAGCATGCCCGTTTGTGACCTCTTCACTCGTTCTTGCTACGTCACAGTTGTCTGTCCCCTCGAGATGTGAAACCTCATAGAACAAGACCCAAGCTTGGTAGATAATGATTTAATTTCCTCGTCGCGGGTATACATAGCATCATAGTTTTGTAGCGGGAAATGGCCGGTTTTTGATGAGGCAAATGCCCGATTGCAATGGGAGTAACGCCATTATCAGAAGTAAAGGCGAGGTATGGTATTAAGATTAAGGTGGAGGACTCGCGTGAGAATTATAGGTCCGACATTGATGAGAAGTCATCGACTTTAGATATGCTTGAGGTTGTTTTCGACTTCAATTCGGATGTGATTCTTCTTGGCTATCCCAGATATGCAGAGCATACTGAGCGATTATATCGGCACCACTGGAAGGTGAAAAATTCGTCTTTGCCGACCCAAAAGTACCGAAAGGTGTTTCTCTAAAACACAGAAGGGTCAAACACGCCGGACTGTTGAAAATTCCACCTCATCAAGATAAATTACCGTCGGCATGTAAGAAGATCGAGCTAGCCAGAACTGAGAGACAAGATAAAGTTAAGTTGGGAGAGACAAGCTGGAATATTGACAGCTGAGAACGATAGAAGGCGGCCGCAAAATTCATAACATTCAGAAAATAAGCTAAATTTTGGATTAAGCAAATAACGATGTGGTTCTCTATCCACCAAGCGACTGCAAATCCTAGAATCTGGATGGCATCAAACACTGTCATTGACGAAAAGGCGGGAAATATGAGAAAAAGACAAGAGGAAAAGCTCTTAATATCCACAAATACGTGAGAAGACTACAAAGCAGCATAGCTATGCAGATAAAAGCGAGTAAATTGGACTTATTCCTATCCACATAGAAGAAAGGTCAGTGGGTTAGATAATCCACGACGCTATTGTAGATATCCGTCCTAAAATACCAAGTACGTAACCATGGTACGTGCCGATTAGGTCAAAATAAAGGACAGTAAGTTGGAAGAGACGCGTTAACTTGTAGCTGCGGTATGATAAAATGATTACGGAAAGTATGACAAGAATGATTCAATGTGAAGGAAGATAATGAGAGGCTCGTCTGATAGTCAAAGCCAAATCCACTGTGAGAATGAGAGAGAAAGGGGTAGATGGAAACCATGTCTCCACCAGTAGCAAGAAAGACGACGATATCCACACTGGACATGACAATGTTAGTGTACATTCTAAAAGTTAGATAGCACCGAAGACGGTGCAAAGCTCAGAAACCGAGGGGATCTATACTACGATTGTCTTCTCAAAACTATTAGAGTTCGTAGAGACATGCATGCGCCATGACTTCGCAGTGGTACTTGCAAATGGAATCCGAGGTATGAGTGTTGTTCTAGTATATTGAGTAATCTTTTCTGTACTTTTTCCTCGATATTGTGTCATGGCTAGCTAGCTGCATACGCAATTTAAATCTGATGCAAAAACAGGCCATCGGGCGCCAATTTAGGCTAGATGTAATCAAATTTGAATTCAATAATTTCACAGGTTTGTAATTAGCGACACTTCAGCAAGTTTGTTTGTATTTTGATATCCTACTGGGACTATGAAAAATAAGGACACGCAAGACCTCTATGCCTGTAAGCCAGGGGTATCTGTGACTCGGGAGGTGTTCTCCCTCCTACGCCTCCTCCACTTCTTCTTCCCAGTAGTAATTCCCCCACAGCTCTACGTGTAAGTACATACTTAGAGGAGCCGTTTATCTGTCATTACCCCCTGGTGCGATTCAGGGTAAGAAGAGCAGAAAGTGCTGCTCAAAGATTATCGCTTGCATTGAAGATCTAAGTTACGTGTAAAACGAGAATTAATGTGCGCACAACCTGGACATAAAGCAGATGTGCGAACTAAAAATGTGACAGTGAATAGCTCTCTGCATAGCTCACCACACTACCATTACGCAGTCAATGTGGAAGTTTTGACCCAGCTGCAGTAAGACCATCCCATTTGCCGTGATGTAAAGGCGACCTAACCTTACACCCAAATTCATCCTACCCCGCACATGCAAATGCATGAGAAGATCGCTCAACAGTGAAAAGAAATCAGAATGCAGTGTGAAGGGAGGTTGTCGCAATTGCAAGGAATGCTAACGATACAGAGAAATTTGGCAAATTCCAATCACAACCCTCTCTAGTCGACAAGCCATGACCATTTGCGCGTGTGTAGCTTCAGAGAAAATCTATTGAAAAACAACTGGATGTATGGCTCTGGTCCTGATATTAGGAGTAAAACCGAAGGCGAAGCCTCCATTTTGAAGCGTTTGAAGGTCTTGCCATCAGGGCGCATGAGACCAGTGTACACTTCAGAGCTTCTCTCATATTTCCTGGCCTCCCCGTCACTCCTCCCCTGATTCATGCCGCAGGTCGAACCGAAGCTGGTGAGAGGATGTTAGAAAAGTCCTGATCGAGAGTGACTGTCGTGAAGGAGTCTAGCCTAGCATCCAAAAGTCGCTACGGATATGGGGTTGTCGAATAAATCATGTGTTTCAGCTGCTCTCCTACCTGGTAGATCCAGAATTCAAGGTTAGTAGACACGAGTTTGTTGACGAGTCGAATTATGCTTTTCGTGAGGCCGGAAGAGTCTTTCACCTTGCTGTCGCGGGCTTCTTCATATCACCTAATGGAGCTATTTTTGGATATGACCAGGAAAAAAACTACGGAGGAGACTGATTGGTTAAAACACCCAAGAATGACAGCCGATAGAGTCTGGACATTGCATTTATCTTTTACAGAGCTACGTGAGTCAGGGTCAATCTTGCATATCAGGCCCTCATCTTTGTCCCAAGCTAAATCTTTTACAGCGCTCCTATCCTCTTTTGTTACCAGGAAATAAAGCCAGCATTGTACCTATGATCAACAGCTATTTAGCACAATAGTAATGTAGATGTCACAGGTATGTGATATCTGTTGCGGCGTATGGTTTACTGTAGATATCTAGTGTTGTGCTTCCCCAAAGATCTATGAGATACACTACTTGCTGTACTCTACATGGTCCGTGTGACTATGCAGTTATATGCCTTTGCATATCAGCTTTTGCTGGAACTGCCAACAATCCCCACATTGTGCAGCATGCACAGACGTAAATTAGCAGTATCATCCCCACATTTGGACAACTGCCTTTAAAATTCGGGTTTCTTTTTGCGGGACCTAACTCACTTGTAAATGTAGGCGGAAGACAGGATTACTTGCATTTTTGTTTTCAACTAGTTTAGATGTGTCCAGTTCTATTGTAGCTAAAGACTCAGCAGCGGCATTAAACTTATCAAAAATCTATCCTGTTTTATAACTATGAGAAATGATCAATGTCGTGCGTACGAGTGGATGACCCTTTAAACCTTAGAGACAATCATACTCTGTCATTAGCTTGCAAATACCACTTGGAGGGTCTTCGCTTATCGAAGAGAGAGGTTGCAAGGGAAAAAAATATAGGGGGAATTTTAGGCTAAGATTCGGCGGAACATAGGATTATATGATAGGGCTTGACCTTAATGATGAACTGACATCAAATCGGCAAAGGCCAATTCTTCACCCTCTAGTGGTGCCGGTGTAATCGCTGAGTATGCTCTGCATGGTTGGGTTAGCCACGAAGAATTACACCCGGGTCAAAGTCGGAGGTAAATTGATGTTTATCTTCATTTTATGACTTCTCACTGTTGTTGGATGTGCCCCTATCACATCGGTCCTCTATCTCTATATTACCACATATCATCTCGCTTCAACCACCATTAAAGTAGCCGTTTCAATCACGAATGGGAGCTCGCCTCTCAAGTCGCTAGCTATTTCCTACTATCAAATTATGATCCTACGTATGTTCGGGAGTATTAGAGTAAGTCGTCAGATACAAAGCTCGGGTCTTGGCTTGTGGAGAAAAGTTGCTTTAATGCGGCTCAGCCTCTTGAGAGAGGACAGGCAGTTGGGAAGTAGAATGAGAGAGGGAATTGATCACTTGTGGGTATGCTTGCATTTGCATTTTTGAAATATTTTCGACTCCAGTACCCTATACGGCATGAAATAAGTTGGGTCAAGCTAATGTGCAGCAATCAAACCTTGTCAAGACTTTTCTGACAAATTAGCACGACCTGTAGGTTAGTGTTAGATGGAGGCTAGAAAGGCAGAGAGTGAATTTCCTTGGGTGCACACAAGTGTGCAGCACCCAGCCTGTCGGCCTCTTCGAACGCTCCAAAAGGGTAGCAGTAACTTCAGGCCTAGTCCTAATGCCGGTATTAAGAAAGGCCCGCACCCAATGATTTTTCCGATTTTCCCCAGCAGTCGCACACCGACAAATAGCTTTCGTTTAGTTGTCTACAGAGGGTAGACAACGTCGGATAAACGGCTCCTCTTAGTATGTAATCAAACGAAGACCTGTGGGGATATTACCACTGAAAAGAAGACGTGGAGTAGGCATTTATACTCCTAGCTTGTAGGCAGAGAGGTCCTACATATCTATGTATATTCACAGACTCAATAGGACAATAGACATAAACAAACATAGATCCAACGTATTGCTTAAAATTAGTGAACCGTTAGTCCTTCTCATTTTTAGAAAAGAAATTGCCAAATAACTTCGAGTCATTGAGTTTCTCCAGAACCAGGTATTCAAATAGCAACAAAGAATGTCCCTTGGTTTACTTCACTAGATAAAGGACTATGTTTCCCAGATTATGTATGCCCTGTAGGGTAAATTAAAATGGCCAGACTACATACCTTAAAAATTCTTGGAATAATAATTGAATGAAACACAGTCACTAGCCCTATCTGAGTAAAGCTACTTGCAGCAACAAATATCATGATGTGCTGAGTCGACTTACCGTTCAGTAACTATATGGTTGAAATGCCCAGGAACTTTTTGTCTACATTTCTCGCAATCAGCTCTAAACCCCATACTAAAACTTTTCTTTTTTGGAGTGGCGATTAGTTCTCTACTAGAATCTGTGATAGGTAGACAAAAGCTGTGCTTTGTTCGATCAATACCTTTCTCTACGTTCATTATATTCGAGGTTGAGTACTGTGAAAATTTCCCTGAATCCATTTGCATGCCTTTTATTCTTCCTGAAATGCTATTTGGGCTTGAATCACTTTTGCCGACAGAGTTGGATGGTCCAAAATGCAATTTAACCTCACCAGGTATTATGGGATTACTTGTAGAGTCATTTACTGGGCCATGAGTAACAATCGAGTTCTTATTAACCCATGCACAGGGAGCAGTTGTGATGACAGGCGTTTGATTCCAGCAGGAGCTAGAGGATGAAGTATGCTTTTGATATAATTCGTTAGGTTGATAGCAAGAAGCTTCAATCATTTCTAGATCGTGAGACTGGTACAAAGGCTCGCAAGTATTTGTTAGGTGAGAATCGTCTTCAATTTTTATAGCTCCAAAATTCTCAGATGTATAATTCTTGTGTGATAATGAAAGACTCCCAATATTAGACGATTCTTTAATGACAATGTCACTTGATGTAAAGGTTCTTATTGGTTTGTCTTCCGAGGTCGAGGCAAGTCTTATTGTAATGAGGGCTGCAGGGTTTGATAGGCTTGTAATAGCTGATGATGATGGGGCGGTAATCTTTCGACCAGATTCGGGGCAGATTTGATGGAATTGATCATATCTTCGACGTTTCTGAAAGTCATTAGTTACGAAAGAGCTTAGTCTGAAGAATCATGAAATCACACGTTATTATGCTCAACAACACCGCTGCTGTACTCTTCGAATTCCTGCCTCTCGCGTTTTTTGGTAGAACATTGTTCTGTAAACATTACACATGGGATGACAAGCCTGGTATAACGGCACGCTTTCCTTGGTTTAATTTCAAATATTATTAACAGGTAGCTGTTTTATTAAGATAAGGTTGGTAAATAGTGCCTGGCCCTTGACACCAGCCTTACTTATGTTGTCGAATTACGTCAGAGGCTGCCGTCATCCTAGAACTCCACATACTAAGCGAAATATTCGCGAACCCCGCAAGAAGAAATATTTATTTAAGGGAAACTGTCATTCACTCTCAGTCTAACATCCCAAGCTTCAGTTTGTCCTTCTTTTCAGTCTAAGATAATCTCAGTTGTAAAAATGCCAGGAGTTAATTTGGATCCAGCCTTTTGTGATGACATAAGGGGTAAGCCAAAAATCATTTTTAATCATCCCGCTATGTCAGTCAATGTCATATTGAGAGATATTGACAAGATCTTTTATTAGTCTGTGGAGAAGATCCTTTAATACCGCCGCAACTTTTGCTCTCAGAAATACCACCCACACACAAATCAATGGATACAGTCCTTCAGGGTCGGAGAGAAGCAATCGAGATCATAAATGGCATGTCTGATCGACTCCTGGTAGTTGTCGGCCCTTGCTCTCTCCACGACCCTATAACCGCTCTCGATTATTGTCGAAAGCTCAAAAAAATTTCTGATGAGCTTTCGGATGATCTGAGTATCATCATGCGAGCATATCTTGAAAAACCTAGAACAACGGTAGGATGGAAAGGTCTTATCAATGACCCAGACATTAATGACACTTTCATGATTAACAAAGGCTTGCGAATTAGTCGTCAGCTATTTTGTGATCTTACAACCATGGGAATGCCAATTGCAACAGAAATGCTAGACACTATATCGCCTCAATTCTTAGCAGATCTCATATCTCTAGGGGCTATCGGCGCGAGAACTACAGCATCACAGCTCCACCGAGAGCTTGCTTCTGGTCTTTCTTTCCCGGTTGGGTTCAAAAATGGTACTGATGGTAGCTTGAGCGTTGCCATTGATGCCATTGGCGCAGCGTCCACTAAGCACCACTTTATGGGTGTTACCAAGCAAGGACTTGCTGCCATAATAAGAACGAATGGAAACGAGCATGGATTTGTGATCCTACGAGGCGGTACAAAAGGTACAAACTACGACGCAGAAAGTGTTAAACAAGCCAAGGATGACCTATCAAGGAAAGGACAGCGGCAATCTATCATGATAGATTGTTCTCATGGTGAGTCATCTAAACTAATACTAGAATCTAGTTAACCCTGGCAGGAAATTCCAATAAGGATCACCGCAACCAACCAAAGGTTGCGCGAGTGATTGGTGATCAGATTCGTAGTGGAGAAAAAGCAATCATCGGGATAATGATTGAGTCAAACATAAATGAGGGTAATCAAAAAATACCGGTAGAGGGGCCATCAGCCTTAAAAAAGGGCGTCAGCATAACTGACGCTTGTATTGATTGGGAAACGACTTCCTGTGTATTAAGAGATCTTGCCGAGGCTGTTAGAGTTCGTCGCAGCCTTCACCAGCGATCACCGTCTCCCCAGTAAGGGATCATTCACGACAGCACCTACATGTTACACAATCTTCGAAAAGTTTGGCGTTTAATGACTTTTATGACGGAAACTGTTGGAAACACCTAAATATTTGTTGAGATTAGTGGCTACTCTCCAAACATCTATAGTCCACAGTGTTAGAAATTGAAAAGCTTTTTGAATTCAACTCAGTTTCTGAATTGTCTCTCAGAGTAATTCCTGTTAATTTTGTATACCATGGAGGCCTTTAAAACTACAGTAGAAATTACAATCTTTCACATTTCAATTTGTTACACGGTTTAGCTCGCGTGGAGAGAATTTGTTTTATCAAAATATTAGATGAAAATGAGATGAAACTTTGATCCCTGTGAGCAGTAACCCCACAAGTAGAGACCTCTTAGTTGAGAGACAAAAGAACCGATATGGATTCCTAAATTAGCTCAGATGCTTTTTTATCACTTAGTCCGCGGCATTCTCCAGTAAACAAGACGATATAAGCTACGCAGTATCTATTTTTACCATTTCATTTTGGGAGAGGGTTCGATGAGAAATGTGGCTAAATTCCACATGTTTATTCTGATCTGAATGTCTATCTGTCATGGGCATTATATCAGATCTTTTTTTGTAAAATGAGAGCACTGCTAAAGTTGTAGCCTGGGATAGAGAGGAGAGCCTAATTTGCAAGATAGTCACAGAATCAAGAGTCACATTGAGACTTAACCAAGACGATAAGTTGGTAGAGACAAATTCTTCAAATTCCAGTGATGGCGGTGTAATCGCTCAATATGCTCTGCATATTTGGGATAGCCAAGAAAAATCGCATCTGAATCGAAGGCCTCTCATTAATGTCAGTCCTATTATTCCCTCAGAAGTCCTCCAACTCAACCTTACCACAAACCACCACGCCTCAATGACCGACCAAGGAGCTGCCCCAATTGCAAACGGGAGCTCGCCTCAAAAATCATCGGCCGTCCCATACTATCAAACCATGATGCTACGTATACCTACAAGAAGGAAAATACGTCGTGAGACACAAAACTCTGGTCTTGGTCTATTTGGGACCATTGCTTTAATTGGGCTCCATAACTCGAGGAAATACAGGCAGCTAGGTCGTGAAATGAGAAAGGGAATAATTCATCGATAAGGATGATGAGACTTACATTCTTCGAGTGTTTTCAATTTAAGGATGTATGTGGGCGCAAACACTTTCTAATCAGGCAAGGATGAAAGGGGTTTTGGTCCGCTTTCTGATCGTCTTCTCACCGAATTAAAGTCTGGGTAGCCTGAAAACCTATCTCACTCGAGAAAGGGAAAACTGTACGTCCATCTCTCGCGCGGTAGCAATTTACAAAATGGCAAAGGCATGTTAGGGTAGCCAAAGGTTTTCCCATTTTTCCTTTTGTGGATGATCACGGTTAGGGAAACGGTGAGAGTCCCTAGCACAAAAGTCGAGTGGTATCAGCGAATGCACCCGCTACATGAGTAGTCCAAATGTCAAACTGGGTTATTGTCGTACGGAGTCGTCGGAGAAGCTATTCTTCTCCGTGTCATGCTCTTTGAGTGCAGGGTTTGTGCCCTTCAGCCAGGATCCGCACTATAGCCATAAGGGTTTTGTTAAGAGCCAGCATGACACCCACATTAAAATAAACACTGCATCCATGAATTATACGGAGTCTTGATTAGGCTCACGGTAGGAATATCTAGAGACTCATCTCTAGCTTCAGTGAGGTCAGAATACGCCATCTGTAGAATGTGACGGGAAGATAGATAGGCGGTAAGTGCGGAACACAGATTGATGTGAATCTTCTACTAATCTTGACTAGTTTGTGATTTTAGATTTGGTTTTGAGATTTGCTGTTAGATTTTCTTTTTGTAGGGCTCACCCGGCTATAATGATTCAGGCCTATGTGCAGTGATCCCGACCGGATCCACTTGTCCCCTAGCCAAAGTGGACTGAAAACTTTTAGCCTGGCATATAAGCTATACAGCGACAACTGGAGCCAGAAGCCCTGCATAGCCTCCTTACAGCAAGAATAATGGAACCTACTCACAGAGTACTACCATTTCGTAAGCAAACAATGCGATCGATTATCAAATTATCACGTAATAAATCCAGTTTTTTTTAGCTATTTCGATAAGTTCCTCACAAACACGCAATCATTTCGACTATTCGGTCATAGCGTAATAACTTCCACCAACCCTGGAATCAGCCTCTAATTGGCTGGTCACTATTTCTCGGTGTATTGCAACCTTGAATCAGCTTGAGACCGCGAAAACGCTCATCTTCGAATCAGTAGAATGTGGACCTGAATCTCTTCATGGCGGTCCATCCTATCCTTGTCAGCGACGATCTGTGTAGTATCCTTGTCCTATTTACTACATCCCAGCGGTGAATTTGCTCTTTCAGCAATAGCATGGTCGACCTGGCTCGTTGGGCAAAGTCACGACCTCAAAATGCGGCACCACTACAAAGAAACTACTGATGATTTTATGGCAGATCGTGACGGGCGCGCGTGCGTACTGCTAGTCTTGTTTTTAGCCGGCGAAATTGACGTCAAAATCGAGCAGCCCGGGCCAAGTGAGGGCTATCTGTAATGAGCTTCTAGCGTCTCGAATGAAGAAGGCAAGTGGGTCGCCACAGCTTACCGGAACCAATCCACTGGAACAGACGCATTTACCGTGCCGCTATTCAGGGCAGCATGGCTCGCAATCAGCCACGCAGTAAGGATACTATACGAGAGCTCGGCACTCCGAACATGGGGGTCTCTTACAGTCCTCCTTCGAGACGCGTCTCTTGTACGCCTGGGGAATGAGATCGACTAGCCGGTCGCAATTCCATCGAATCGCCACGGCCGGATGTTTGTAAGGGAGGATTTAGGCTCTAGTCGAAGGAATCTGAAGTGGTTTTTCTGGCGGCACGCTGTTGCTTGACCTGATTTCTCGGGGTAGTGTGAGGAATGGGGCGAGAGGGATTTATTGATCTAGGACGGGGGCAGTGCTGGAGATGGGTGCATAGAATGGTCTGGGGCAATTTATCTCTTTACTTGACTCTGTGCTACTACATTAGGCTTAGCACGACACCATTTCCATATGGAGGCTATTTATAAGTCGCTTGCCGCTGCCAAGCAACTCAGGTCGAAAATCACTACTTCTAAAACTACTTCTTCCACCCTTGGTAATGACCCCAAGAGACTAGTGCAGAGACGTATGGCATACACCGCTCTATCGCGGAAGGTGGTGTCATGTCAGCTTCTAGGGGCACTCCATGGTAGATCTGCTAGCGACCTTGTCTCATGTGTCGTCCACAACGTGGAACATGCCATGCATAGGAGACAGACTGCAGCCTTGGCTACTCTAGACTCCAAGCGGCCAGTAAGGTATAGTCATGTGATATCTATCCTAAATAATTTATATGACATAAGCACCAATGTGTAATTTAATTAGCGTACCATCATTTAGAGTTTCTGGTTGGGGCACTTGACAAACAATTAACATGAGGCCAACATCAATCACGCAACACCGCCAGACACAGACGAAATCCCCACCTTCCAGTGGTGCTGGTGTATTCGCTCAGCATGCTCTGCATATCTGAGGTATCCAAGAAAAATCGTATCCGAATCCTGTCCGAATCAAAGTCGAAAGCAAACATAGACGCATTTGTAATCGGCGACTTCTCATCAATATCGGTCTTGTCATTCTCACGAGACTCCTCTACCTTGACCTTTCTACACACCACCTCGCCTCAACGACTGATAAAGGCGTTACTCCGATTGCAGGCAGGAGCTTGCCTCATTTGTAACCGACTATCACTCACTACAAATTTACGACGCAACGTATACCCTCAAAGAGAAGATCAAGTCATAATCTACAAAGTTGGGGTCATGATTTATGGGGGACAGATGCTCTAACGGGGTTACACATCTTGAAGAAGTACAGGCGACTGGGGCGTGGAAAGATACAAGGAAGAGACCTCCAGTGGAAGAATGGGACTGATATTTTCGAGGGGTTTTCAACTTTGGATTTTTTGTGGGCGCCAAGACCAAGATTTCGGCTAATTAGCCATGAGGACTTCAATTGTCAATGAGTCAACGACACTCTTAAGAGCTCTGGATGGTACCAAAGAAGTTGGGTAAAGCTATCAAACGGCAATCACGCCCTGTCAAGACTTTTCAGACATTTCAGCACGACCCTTGGGAAGGAGTTGGAAGGAGGCTAGAAAGGCAGAGGGTGAATTTCCAGATGTACGCTCAATTCTGCAGCGCCCAGCTGGCCGGCCTCTTCGAACGCTTTAGAAGGATCACTAGGTCTTCGGATTTAGTCCTAATGTCGGTATTAGCAGAGCCCCGCACCCCGGTGGTTTTTGGGATATATCCCGGCTGCCATATACCTGCAAATAGCCATCGTTTCGTTGGCTGGAGAAGGGAGATAATGAAGGGTAAAGGGCTTCTCTAAGTGTATGATCAAATGAGGACTTGTGAGGGGCGATACAGTTGAAGGGGAGCTGTATGGTAGGCATAGGAAGGGGTATGCTAATGGCATAGGTATCCCTGGCCCGCAGAACGAGAGGACCTACTGTCACAGTGTAGGAAGATAAACTGACAAGGTCAAATCTGGTGAATTAGACTCTCTACAAGGAAGGAAAAGATCTCCAAACGATATGAGAGAAATTTTGTAAACAATAGGTATCACGTGAAGAGAGTCTTCATCCTATCTCTTGACGCATAGTCCCGCCTTACTCTGGTTTTCTGTACAGTGCCTCTAGGTTACAAAATGTTAGGCTTGAAACTGGGTTGTTTAAGCGATTAGCCCCGTAGGTGCATTTCGGCTAGCTCGCAATAGGTTAGACTGTCTCTCCTTATAACCCCGCTTGCCATGAAGTATGGTCCAATCGTGTTCTTCTAACAATCGCTTAGAGAAACATTTTCAACGACACACTTGACTGCCCAACCAACATAGCCTACAATTCTTAACATCGCTATCAATTCATCCCCTATTCCGGCAAACAATGTCTCTCGAGAAGTCTGCTTCAGAAACTAAAGTTTGCAGGCATCTAACTCGCGATCAATGTATTGAAATAAGAACATTAAGAAGACTTGGCTTGACATTACAATATATATCCGACGAACCTAGCTTCACAAGAAGGCAAGTGCAACTTACGTGTGCTCAAGAGACTAAGACTCCTATGCCTCGCAAAGGACTCTCACCAAAATTAAGTGCGGAACAAGTTGATGAGCTTGAGGCTTTCGTCCGGGAATCTCCTGAAAATCGACAGATGTGCTATTCGGAACTAGCAATGGGACCCCTCAGCCACTGTGGATGCAATGAGCATTAACTTTCAAATGCCCTCAATAAAATGGGTTACAGCAGATGCATTGCTCGGAAGAAGCCTCTGTTAAGTGTGGTCAACATGCACAAAAGATATATAGCGGTGATAAAGGAAAATGGAGGGTACACAAAGTATTGGGACGGAGCAGACTAAAACAAAACATGTAGTGCGCTTTCAATTTAGTTGCGAGCCACACTGAGGGCTTCGATGTAGACTTTTGTAATACAAAGCAATTATTTTTGAAATAGATGTGTCTTTTCAGATAATATCAATTGAATTTGAATTTGAATTTGAATTTGAAATCTTTTACGTGACAGGAAGAACCTAACATCTATTTAGACGTGACACGGGTAGATGGGCTCTCAAAGCTCGTTGCTACCTACATGACAGGTAGTGGGGCCAGAAGCGACAAAAGAAAAGATTGAAAAAAAAAGAACAGTATGTGTCTGAGTTACGGTGCCCTGCGCCGCATCCCTATCTTCCACACCCATCTACTCTCGGGTCAGAAACAATCTCAGCGTGGTCACCTCCCACCCTGTTCATTCTTCGGCAGACTGTAACATCGGCTTGTAGTTAAGAATCGAATGAACTTCTGCCATCCCTTCTCCCCTATCATTTCCCTGGCCCCAGGTGGGGCCATTTTCTCATAGATTCTCCAACGTAGCAAAGCAGGTTGGCACTCTGAAAAATGCCAGGGCCTTTTCTCTCGGCCGCAAACGCATTTCAGATCTTCATGTTCGGGGTTGAAGCGTCGATGGTAGTCGGCATAGTCCCCGTGGCCTGTTCTTGCCGCAATAAGACGATGGTACGCCCATCTTGGTAAAGCTAGTCCCGGTGGTCTTTTGCAACGCATGAATAGGTCCAGATCTTTGTATCGTTTCGGTCGATACTTCTGCCACCACTCTTCCACGAGCTCTTGGCTACGCTGTTTAACCCACCTCCCTAATGCCGCAAATGTTAGATCTTGATCTTCTAGAATGGGCGCAGCTGAGGTTAGTGACCGGTTATTGGAAGCTCCCAAGGCTGATTTGGCCAGCTTATCGGCCTCTTCATTGCCTTGAATCCCTACATGCCCGGGTATCCAGCGTATTTCCACACGCTTATTGTGTCTCAGCGATGAAAACTTGTCCACCACCGACTGCGAGGAGTTAGATCTTCCTCTTTCGAGCGCCTGGGTGGCCGCTTGGTTGTCAAGAAGAATGCAGATCAGTAAGTCTTTTCCTACCTCTATTGCAGCCTTCAAGGCTTTCATGGCACCTACAACTTCTGCATCGAATACCTCTGCTCCGGGAAGTGGACCGGAGCCACTTGTAACTAGCTTGCCTCCTTGGTATACTACATACCCCCAGGATG